GTGTTTTCCCGAGAAATTTTGGTGCAGTCGATTTTTGGTAAAAAAGGAAGGTTAAACACTGCCTTTTTTTGAGCTCCGAAAAAAAAATTATCTCAGATCGACCCGGAAAAATTTTTTTTTATAGAATGTGGCCTGTAGAATCCATAATTTCAAACAGTTCCAAGATTGGGCTACTAGTTCAAAAGTTACAGCCCCTTGAATTTTCTTACGAAATTGGTTTCTAGTCCATAAGTTTTGATTGAGAAGTCCGATCGAAAAAGTACGAATTGTTTTAGATTCTACGCACCAAAATTAATAAGAAAAAGTGTTTTCCCGAGAAATTTTAGTGCAATCAATTTTTGGTAAAAAAGAAAGGTTATACACTGCCTTTTTTTGAGCACCGAAGAAAAAATTGTCTCAGATCGACCCGAAAAATAAATTTTCTTATAGAATGTGGCCTGTAGAATCCATAATTTCAAACAGTTCCAAAATTGGGCTACTAGTTCAAAAGTTACAGCCCTTTGAATTTTCTTTCGAAATTGGTTTCTAGTCCATAACTTTTGATTGAGAAGTCCGATCGAAAAAGTACGAATTGGTTTAGATTCTACGCACCAAAATTAATAAAAAAAAGTGTTTTCTCGAGAAATTTTGGTGCAGTCAATTTTTGGGAAAAAAGGAAGATTATACACTGCCTTTTTTTGAGCTCCGAAAAAAAAATTGTCTCAGATCGACCCGGAAACAATTTTTTTTATAGAATGTGGCCTGTAGAATCCATAATTTCAAACAGTTCCAAGATTGGGCTACTAGTTCAAAAGTTACAGCCCTTTGAATTTTCTTTCGAAATTTGTTTCTAGTCAGGGGCGGGTCAGGTAGAATTGCATAGGTTCCGGGCCATTAAAGTATTAGTGTAGTAATGAACGTGGCGGGGGGGTAGCTCTGCGGTGCACCACAAAAACATTTTTCGCTTCATTTTAAAGTACTCCTCCGGAAATCAATTACAATACAGGTCTTTTTAAATTGCAGCTGATAATTAAAAGTAACAAAATATACAAACCAAACGAGGCGCGTCGCCTATCATTGTATTTCATCACTTTCATGCTACGACAAAAAATGATAAATTCATTGTAAAACACTTCAATTAAAACAGAATTTTTTAATTTTTTAACAACCTAACATCAACCCTAATTAGAGAAACGTGTTAATAACTTATTAATAGTGCAAGAAACTAAACAGCAGATACTTATAAATTTCCAACGGGCCATTATGACGTACAGGCCAGGTGGCGATCGCCACCCGCCCCCCCGGGCCAGTCCGCCCCTGCTGTTAAGAACCGTAAAAAACCGAAAAAAGTAATATGGGTTTCGGTTCTCAATACGTTTCCATTTCTGAAGGAATAACGGTTTCGATTCGGTTTTCGGTCCAGAAAAAAATACCGGTTTCGGTCCGGTTTTCGGTTCTTTTTCGGTCCGGTCCGGGTCCCAGCCCCCTACCCCCTCAACCGCAAGTAAGTGGTTAAATGGCCTTTACGTAAGTATACAAAATTAAGTAGCACTTGAGCATACAACTTCAATAGTTTGTAATTAAATCCACACACTATAACGCGAGTTCAAATATGTAACGAGGCTATCAACAGAAAATGATAAGACGACGGAAATACTAGATTGAAAAAGATGGGGGTTTTCTTTTTCCAATTTTCCCCCTTTTTTATGTAAAAAATTGAAAACTAATATGGTTGATTGACGTAATTACAGTTATTTACATATGAGTATGGTAAATCAAGGTTTACGTTAACGAGTGAGATGTTTACTGCCGAAGCGTAGCTGAGGCAGGAATTTCGAAACGAGTAACGTAAACTGATTTGACATACAAATAATGTAAAGCATTTTATTTCATACTGCTCTATTTCTATTAAAATACCATTTTGAGTAGAATGTTGTAGGTACACATTAAAATCAAAAGAAAAGGTGGTGACTTGATTTGTTTTATCTGACAGTAGTTTGACAAGTATCAATGCATACGTTTAGATGGATGTCAGTTGCGGTTGCTAGGCAAAATTTCCAGTCTGGTAAAAATTTTCAGTCTGGTAAAGTACGATTTACCAGACTCAAATCAGTCTGGGAAAGCGGCGATTACTAGATAGTATGAAATAAAAAATTTTTTCCTACAAAAAACCGTAATACATTTTTGTTTTAATAATTTGGGGAGCCAATAATGGCATGTTCTGAATTTTACATTGAAATTCCTATGATGCGTTACGCAAGTCACCACCCTGTATATCGCTGCCTACGTGTTGGATTAGCAGCGTTGTAGGACTACAACCACAATATTTTTACTATGCCCTTTAAAAAATGTTTATTATTTATATATACACACTAATATCAACATCGTGAATCTGTCTAAGTTGATTTTTGGCTTACAAACACATACCGATATTTGTCTGTCTTAAAGGTTGATGTATTAGACAAATACCTGGACAAATGTTTTAAAAACAATGGGCAATAGTATTGCAAAATATCAATTCTAGTGGTTGATACAGTGAAGAAGCAGATCTTCTTTACCTAGGTATGTTTGGTGTAATGGGGTTCGTGAGTAAGTGGAAGCTGCATGAATGTAAATTGTTGTATTTAAATTAGGTTCGATGTTGAATCACTTTCCTGGAAAAATAATTATATTCCAGGAACAAACCAGCATAAAGGCGGCCTTGTAGAGCGCAATTACTGCGCGCATAAACTAACAATAAAGGGTTAATATGTTTTTAATTATCGCGGAATGATTCACTCCTCCTATAAATAGTATGCAAATTCATTTTAACGACCTTCCTCAATTAGAAAAAACTAGGAAATTAATTAAAACGAGGCTAATCAAGATACGCCCATCCGATTTCACACTTTTTGTGCATGTTGCGAAATGAATCATTTGCTGGTGGTGACACGTGACACTATTTATTTTGATTTATTTTTTTTATTGCTTCCAGCATGTAAATCATTTTCAGTCATTTATTTTACCTGTTGAAACTAATCAGCAAAAAACGACATGCGCGAAAGAGATTTGTCAAGTTGATGTGTGTTGCAGTACATTAGGTATATAAAAACTAATTAATATGGGAACTGAAAAATTGAGGATGGTAAGGGTTCAAAACAATAGAGGTTTCGCGTTCTTGCTGACAAACCAACTTTCTAGTTTCTGGCTGTGTTTTCAATCAAAGTATGAGATCACCTAAAATGCAGCAAGAAAACTTCTTCCACATTAAAAATTTATTGTGTCGGATCATAAGCACTATTAAGGAAATTATTGCGTTCTGTATCTCGCGAGCTAAGAAAATTCGTGGTTGTGCTCCGAAACAATATGGATTCTCCAAAAATCTTACGTGATTTCGTGAATAAGTAAAAGCAACAAGTTTTCCATAACGTTGCGAAGCTAAAAAACATATTCTGGCACAGCATTTGTCTTGCTCTTGTATTGGTCTTTTATTTGAAGCCACTGTGATAAGTCAAACTTTCCTTAAAAACTACACGATTCACACAAAAAAAATTAGAAATTCAAGCACATTGTGGTTAGGTTAAACATACGAGATCGTCATACAAAACAAAATTTTTTTAAAACGCAATTATCTGTGTGCCCCCAAGGTTCTTTCCGCTTATGATTACACGGAAAAATATACATTACCCACTTTACGCTATAACAAACAATAAGAATTTAATGCACTTTCATTGTTTTAAACCTGGTAATTACCCGGATAAGTCAACTACCTGTTGTTGAAGTGCTTTTTGCGCGCTAAGACTCAATTGAAAAAAACAAGGAAATTTTTTACACACCCCATTTCCCCCATTATTTAAATAATGCAATTACTTAGGGGATATGTCTGAAATTAGTGCGTAAATGTGTAAGTGCCGGTAATATTCTCATTTATAATTAATTATTTTGTTTATCAATTTTTCTTAAAGGACACGTTAATTGTATTCAGTGTTTGCGTTATGTAAATTAAATTGGGTGGTTGTATATAAGCGCGACGCCAATCTTTACGAAAATAGTTACGAGACAAGCAATTACCGACATGTTGAAAATCGTAAGTAGGTCAGACTTTTTTTCTTGTGTTGTATTTTGGGTTTCCAGACTGCAGTATTACTCCTTTGCGTTGCTTCGACGATAGCCGCACCCGTGGCTAAGTCTCAATATGCAGCTTCTTCGGTGATACCATATGCTTACGGAGGTTACCCTTCCGGATATGCCTCAGTGCCGTACGTTTACCCTCCGTACAGTTACACTTATCCGAATTATGGGTACCCTTACAGCAGTAGCTACGTTAGTTATCCCTATCCGTTTTACAATTCGGGATACCTGGGATACCCTTATTAAATGTGTAATTTCTTTGTACAAGGTATAACAATCATGTAAGTTACACTCTGATTTATTTAAAGAAACATTAAAAAAAAAAGTTGTAGTGTAAGTTGAAAAAATCTGAGATAGAAAAAGTACAAATAAATATTTATAATTAATAACTACTATTTTTCACCTCTGTGGCACAACGTTTTGATACAACGGGAAATGAAAACACACATTCGTTGAAAAAACAAAAAAATGTGTCACATTCTCTAAAACATTATCCCTAATCCTGGATTCGACCCTAGACCAAACAGTAAACCGCCAGATAAAACTTTGTGTACCACTATCACAATTTTTTAACCCAGAAAAACCTTCCATGAATGGGAAATGCAGGTACTGTAGAAATATTCTCTTACCAAAAAAATTTGCATCCAGTAAAATTACCCAACAAAATATTTCTTCCCAAGGATCTTAACTCATAAATTCGCACTAGAAATACCTAAATAAACTAAACTCCCAAGGAGACTTGATATAATAGACATTGTCTGTGACTAATTTATTCCTGAGAATAAACTGGACGTGACCTACCGTATAATATGGGTCAAGAATATGGAAACGCCAAAGATGATGATTGTCTAGGTTAGATATGCGTTTTGCTTAAAAACACTAGGAGTGTGGTAACTTTTAAACCATTGAATAGTCCGTTCACACGGCCATGGTTTATAGTTGTTGACCCGAAATACAGATAAAAAAATAATGAATTTCTAAATTTGTTTGTGCGCTTCCTCAATATTTTATGGAATGCGACGCTTTATTTAACTCCTTACGCCATCTAGGTAATTTCTTTGTAATTCACAAGTTACATTTAGTTTTATAGTTCTTTATTGTCTTGTTATAGATATCTTTGAATCGTTCATTCTGTTGTCGTAAGATGTTGCGCAGAACTTTCTTTAATTTCTTCCGACGCGCGCACTCCTTGCACAAGAGGCATTCTCGATTATTATTTGAAAGACGATACACGCCATTGGTTATTTGACAATTTTGTCGACAATTTTTGTGATATTCTGGCGCTGTGTTAAATTGAGTGAAGTTTTCTCTCGTGATTCTCCTTCTAAGCTTCACTGACGATATTTGCGGATTTATCTTATTATTTAATTATTTATTGATTTATTATCCCCCTCTTGTTCTGGGCCCTCAACAGGCTGATAAGTTTTAAGACCGTTTTGCGGTACCTATGTAACAATAATTACACATTTAGTTTTACTTTGAATAATGATTTTTAAGTTTTTTTTTACTTCTTACTTTTGATTTACGATTTACTTAATTATTATCTACCGGATTGTGCTTTCGACATCGATATTTCGGAGTGGAAACGCTGAATTTTGGATTTTCTCAATACTGAGCAAGAAAAATTAACTGGTGAAGGTCCACCTACATTTAGAGATTAGAAAGACACGCGCAAATATTTCTACATTATCGGCAGAACTGCCAGCCATTTTAAGTGAAACCAAACAGCTGAATTTTACCTGGATCCAAGTTTGTTTTATTAGAAAGGTTGTCTGGTAACTCTAAACCAATAGAATGCTTGCATTTTGAAGGCGGGAAAACGTCATCCAGAATTCACATTTAAAATTGCTCATAGGTTACAATGCTAATAAAAGGGGTAAAAAATTTAGTTTTTGCAGTATATTTTTGGATTTATATGGGTATGTGTATATGAGGGTGGATCTTATATAGGAAATCTTGGAAGTTTATCGACTTCCACCTTTGAAAGCAATCAAAGTATTGCAAAAATGAGTGTGGTGCATAAGCTGTTTTACATTGCACGAGGACTTCTACCAATACCTAGCCTTTGGGAATTAAAACTCTAAACATTCTTTAGCAGATGACGCCAAATAAAATGCTGTTGCGTTTTATGGAAAATGTATATTTATAGTATGTACAAAATGGTAACCGAGGTGCACATGGCGAGCTCTGTCGTTGGGGTGAGCCCAGATGCAGGTCTTCTGACTGATGGAGTGTGGCGCGGGGGTCGAGCTGGCAAGGCGACCTGGTTCTGCCGGTGGAGAGCTTTTTGTTTCTTGAAGTGCAGTCGAAGCAGAAATTGCATTGCACTTTGCAGAGTTCGTGGCTCTGCTTTTAAACGTTTGCGGCCAGGGACGTTACGCTTTCATCGGTTGGCCGTTTTGACCAATGAGGGCGCAGCACATTTTAGTTTGCTGCCGGATGTGAAACATTTTCTTACCCATTCTTTAAGAACGGTAGGGTCCTTTGGAAACGTAAAAACCGAGATTTTATTTACACCAGGATGAGGAATTTTAGTGTTACCGCCACTCATCTAAAAAAATACTTAATTATAACATACAAAAGTGCATATAATTGATGAACTAACCTTTCAATCACGGCTATGAAAACCCACAAAATTCACAAACTAAATGTCTTTATATTGCACCAAACAGGTATCTACAGCTAAAATATGTCCTTATGCACTTCAAAATTCAACAAATTTTAAACAAATAAACTATAACTCAAGAAAAATAAGCACTCGCGCGACTACAAACAACGTTGAACGTCAATGTCAGAATTCTCGATGACGTATACATTCCGTCCCTCCCGCTTCCGCCCACATAGTTACCAGGTAACCTTTGAAATAAAATAACCTTGACCTGGATCCAATTATACAAAGATTATTGTTGCTTGTAGTTAAGAACCCCAATATATTCACCCCGATCCATCTCTACTTTGCCTACGCGTACCGTGTGCTTACCTAAGGCAATTTTGTTACTTTTGAATATATTTTGGATATTAAAGATACTTCTCTGTACCTCCCGTTACTTCTTCAAATTCCTCCCCTTAATTCCCACTATTTCCGTATATTTCCCTTGTTTCCTATGCAAGTAGATAAGACGCGTTCACGAGGCATGAGAAATGCGCATCGATGTGAAATGCATACTATTTTAGCGACTATTCTAGAAATCTAGAACCGCATCGGGACGGCATCAGGTTGCCATTAAGGCGCCATCAAGTCGACAAAATATTAGTCACCGGCGATAAGGAATGAAGGCGGATGTGATGCATTCGTTCGAGAACTTTCTAGAAGATTTTTGTTTGTTATATAAACGGATTAAATTGTATCTGGTTTAAGTGCCAACATCGACGCTTAATTGATCAATAGTGATTTTGCTCTTGTGCGCTATAAATTCGAGTACGAGTGACGCCTTCCGCTTTTGAGTCGTCTTACCACCGCGCACCGCGAGTTAGACCAGTAGACAGATACATTCAAGTGTGCATTAATTGCATAATTATAATTTTTTTAAAGTGATTATAAGGAAAGTGTAAATCCAAGTTTTCGACCACAAAAACGTGGTGAGCAACTTTTGGTGCGCATAAAAATCTTCTGAATACGTCCCAATTTGTGTTCCCTACATTAGGATCTCGGAAACTATAAGAGATAGAAAGTCGGATAAATGGGAAAAATTTTAAAAAATTTAGTTCTCAAATAGATGCCCCTTTGAAAATGATTCTTATTTCTTTTCGTTTTGGAGAGAATTTGAAAAATCTGAAATTATGCATTTTCGAAAATACCTTCTAATTACGTTATTTATGATTTTATTTTGATCTGTAAAAACTTTAATTGGGCAACTTTTCACGTAGAAGACGCCTGTGATGTCAAAGTTTAATTTTCCCGTTTCACTCTTCAATATTGTTTTTTTTAAATACGGAGCTAGATTTTTTATTTCGAATTTTAAGTGCTTGCGAGGCACCAAAATCAATGATGTATCACATTTATTTAAAAAATTGCATTAATGGCACTCTCCATATTAAATAAATGTGTTAAAGAAAGAGAAAAAGCGTAGGGAGGATGCTATGGTCTCTCGATAACACATTGACTTCTAATGGAAAATGCTATTAATACTATTTTACGCCTACAAATAAGGCGCAAAACAAAGGTTTAAATATTTATTACAGTAAAAATTGGTATTAGTACTACCTAATTTACAGTTTAAATAGTTTCCTATCCTGGCCCTCGCAGACATTTTTTGTGGGAGTCACTTGAAACATAACAAAAATTATAAGTAAAATGAGACCTCGAAATGATAATAGGTATAATGTATAATTAAAAATAATAATGAATTATTAGAAAAGCATTGATCTCCACAGGAACATAAACAAAGAAGACATACACAATATATTTACTAAAGTGATTATCTTCGTCGTCAGAAGTTTTCGGGAGAAAATTTATCCCGGCGTCCCTTTCTAAGCCGAAAAAGAAAGAGAAAAGTTTCTCGCAGATACCCACGCTGATAACCCCCCCCCCCCCCCCTTCGCCCGACGGCGCTATTCCAAAACTCCGGTTTTTCCCCTTTTCCCCTCCACAAGGGGGGCGATAGAGCGACCCGCGACCCCTCGACTCGAGATCTACGATCGCGCTATTTTACGTTTTGCTCTATCTTTAACGGTATAGGCCGCAGAAGGCCTCAAAGTTAGAAAATCCCAATTTCGAGAAGGGCGCAAATTCGAGTTATGCCCCGAATTCCACCGCCGGCGCCGCACGAATACGCTCCTCCACGTCCCCCACGATCTCCAAAAGAAAACAGGTAACGTTTTCGAGCTACGAATTTTTTTCCAAAATTTTTCGCTTCTTACGGCTTCTAATGCGTAACACCATTTTTATAAGATGCCAATTGCATTGGGTAAAAAACCATGACGAAAAATGCACAAGCACATTTTCATTTGATCCAATTTTCCCCTTTTCTGTTTTATATCGACCAAGATTTTAAAAGATGATACACGTAAACTTGTAGTGATTGTTGTTAAAAGCTTCTTTATTTACATGTACAAATTTGTATTGGAATTGGAAAGATGTTTAAGCCGAAACAGTGTGGAGATTAGTAGTAGTGTCCAAAATGGCCATGGTGATGTCCATAGTAACCAGCGTGGTACGGATGAACGTAATGCTGATGACCATAGGCGTATGGGTGAACTCCATGATGGGTATAATGATGAGAATATGGGTACACTGGTTTGGCTTCAGGCTCGGGTGCGGCGGCGGCTAACACGAAGAGGAGTGCAAATAAAGCAAACTGTAACAAAATTAATGATAATTACATGAACATGTAATTGTAATACGTACGTATTTGAACATCTTGTAAGCTTGCTTTGTACGACAAAACTATACCTGACCCACCCTGGCGGGAATCTTTTATACCAATTCTAAGCTTAATTTGCATTAATGTAAACTGGATCAATTGGCATTTAATTGTATTCGTATCCAATTAACATAGCGAGTCAAACGGATTTGTACCTGTTTGTAAACAATATGCAGATAGTGTATGCGTATGTCACGGACGCAACTTTTTTTTATTCATTTAATTTGTAAAAGAACGAACTGATAATTAATAATTCAAAAGGTTAAACTAAAAATAGTATTTCATGCCACAAAAATAATAGTTAATATAGCCGCTAATATGAAATTCTTACTAAAACTTTACTTGCTTGAAAAGAATAAATCAAACACAAACTATTTCTGTATGGACATCCAGTAGGCCCTAATCTATTAAGTGCAATCATTGAATTTCTTAATCAATGGTACAATTTTCAACCTCCAGAACCCTCGGCTCATCTATTATAACTGTTTAATCTTAGTGAAGTGGTGTTTATGACCTTTTTGGTCAAGAGCAAGCGACAGCTTGGGACATTATTACTGATCCGGACGTTGTACTGACAATAATGCATGGAGCCCGATAACTAAAACCACCCTTGTCGATAAGTATGGTAGCCAATGTTTGACGCATACACTCAGAAGATATAATAATAATAGTGTCTTTAATAGATAACGAGCAATAATTAGGTATTATGTGCATAAAATGTAGTTGTTATGTTAACATGTTTACCCGTTAATCTAATGAGGCGAAGTTCATATTATGCTTTGGTACAAAGAAACCGTGTGTTTGCTCTTCCACTTAACCCCGTTAGATTACATTACTTAAAGATAACGATAGCGGAAAATTATAGTCGGTGGATGAGAAAACGAAAAAAATAAAATTAAAAAAAACATTTTGTCTTTCTGCTAAATGAACCAAAAATCAATATAAAGAAATCAGATATAAATGATGTGTGCAAAGAGAAATCAAAAAGGAGATGTGATGACGTACAATTTATATCAAAGAGGATGGCGTTAATATCGAAAAATGAATTAAAGACTCATGTTCTCTGATGCAGAGAAACTGAATAGACACTGTGATGAAAATTACTGGTATATATAGAGAACAAAAGTGGTCCCAACATTCATCCCTGAGGTACTACAGACGTTATTCTAATAGTGGATGGAGATATCCTTCGTACAACCTGTTGCAATTTTATTTTCGACCAATCGAGCCGCATTAGGATTGAAGCCAATGGTAATTGAGGATGCTTATAAGTATTTTATGGTTTATCGTGTCGAAAGCTTTGGAAAAATCAAGCACAACTAAACCTTGATCGTCGGAACAAATGATATCTTTAGTGACATTCAATAATGCTGTATTGCAACTATATCCAAACCTGAAAGCGGATAGGGTATGGTAAAATGGATTCAACTTTTAAAAACTCATTTCATCCTATGGAATATTAGGTATCCTAAAATTCAAATATCGGTTCCAAATTTGGTTCCAATCGGCTCAGCCGTTCGTCGAGAATTCATTTGATTCGGATTCCTGCTGCTTCAAAACGTGTATTTCCGTCAAAAAAGTGGGAGGTCATTGTTGAATCCAGCAAGCCCAGTTGGGGTAGATGTTGATTTGAAATAAGAACAAGTGCTTTCACGGTTTCCTTTATTGTAGCACCTTACACTAATTCTTACACTAAGTGGACTGTATTTACAACTGCGCTTACTGAACTAACTTAAGCCTAGAAAACATTAATATATATCGTAAGGTGGTTAGCTCGGTGGTTAGGGAGTCCTTTTCCTAAAATGGGCGGATATTGCCGCTCGTTAATCATGGCTCACTTCTAATTCTCCGTGTCGAATTATGAGTTCGCTCCCTAACAGTCATTTTTTACACCAATGAAATATCTCCCTTAGCAACGTGCGGGTGGTAAAAACGGACAGTTTTTAAAGAATCGCAGTCCTGTTAGGCAAAAGACGTTAAAGTTTAGGAAACACAAACTACAATTTATGAGAAACATGAACATTAAAGAGCAATTATTAATAACAAAATGAGAAACTGAAATTAAAAGCAAGTAAAGTTTCATAACTGAAATTGATATCAGGAAAAAATTGAAAATTGTAAAAAAAGGAAACATACATTTATGATGACAGAAAAATAGTTTGAAAGAACAAGAGTAACAAGGCACCAAGAAATTAAAATAAAACTTCAATAAAACATGATATTCTCAAAAAACGTGGGGATCATTGTTGCGCGAAGTACACTGTATAGAATCTACAAGGCTTTGACAGGCACCTAGAGCTCGGGAATACGTTCCAGTTGCTTAAGAGACTGTAGAAAGTATCCTTTCTGAGCCTTACAAAGGTTTTCTAAGTCCCCTTCTCTCTAGCACAGTGAATATTTTCAATGCTTATTTTTTTGTTGAAATTTCTCTTCTACTTATAACTTTTCTGTAAATATCACGTGTGTAGTTTAGTCCTTCTTCTATCACTTGCTTACTTATTTAGTTACAAATTTCTTTAGTGTTGCTCAGTTATTGTTTGTAGCGTAGTTTTTATATGAAGTTGTTCATGTTTCCTTCTTTACAATAAATGTAGATGTAGTGGAAATTTATACATACAATGATAGCGAAGTGGCTCGTATGCAACAGCAAAAATGTTCATTTTTTGCGCTTCTCCATTGTTGTCCCGATTATTTTACGGGCTACAATAATGATTAAATTCGAGAGAAATTAAAACGCCAAAAAGTAACGCTTTACCTTAAAAGTTGGCGCTTATTTTGGAAAAACAAAACTTTTGCTTTTGGAATCACTGGTGACTCCGTACATGCCTGAATTACAATCTACCCAATAATTTTCTTAAGCATCCTTGATGATGCCTAAATTTAGAATAGAAATTTCGGGCGAATTACGTAAATGAGCTACTCTTCGTCTTTAAGTTAAATATCAGGGACACGATCGAGAATAATCTTCATCGGAATCTATTTAAACAAGACCATAACAGTTTTATGGAATCTTTATTATTATTTATGGCTAAATTTGTTTGTGTTTGTCTTTTTTATGGAAGGTTAAGGTGACCTTAATGGCTTAATAGGAAATTAAAAATGGTGTATCGTTTGAACTTTTACAAATTAACTTATTTCTATTACAAATATGCTAATTCGATTCAAGAGAATCATCTTCATAAGCCTACAGTGTTCTGTACGATGTAATTAATGCAAGTTCCAAAAGTATATAAACCGAAAGAGTTCTTCATCGGGCATAGTACAGCAAATCGTACACAATGCTTAAAGCGGTAAGTGCCTTGCTTGTATCATATTGCGCTTTATTAATGATGGCGATTTAGATTATTTTCACCATTTTTGTTGCCATGGCTTTGGCCGCCGAGGAGAAGGCAGCCGAAGCACCGAAACAAGACGCGCCAGCAACCCCTTACAACCCGTACCACTTTGGATTTGGTTACAATCCCTATAGTAATCTTGGATACGGTGGATATGCGGGTTATCGCGGTTACAACTACAACCCCTACAGCTACAATCCCTACGGCTACAACCCCTACAGTTACAATCCGTACTTCAGCAACTACAACCGTTTTGGCTATTAAACTGTCTGTGTGTTTTCCAAGGTTTAAAACGATTAAACATTTTAAAAGAAATATGAGTATTCATATACCCCATCGCTTATGGTGTTATTATCCATACATTCTGTACATTTTTTAACAAGTTAAAAAGTAATCGTAAACGATTTACATAAAGCGCATTTCCACTTGCATTCATTTCCCATTTGTAAGATGCAACTTCTGTTAAAATCGTAAAAATCCGGCCACAAATATGAAAGATAGCGTTGCACATGGGCAATCCATTTTTGACGTGCTACTTCAATTTCAGTTTATGAGAAGAATTTCATTTCAATGTTTTTCTAAATAAGAAAGTTGGAACTGCGCATGCGCAAACCTAAATTTTGAAACTAATGTTAGATTTTCCTTTATTCCAAGTGCCTATGTATCAAATTTCATTTAAATTCTTCCATAAATAAAACAGTTGGCACTGCGCAGGCGCAAAACCAAATTTTGAAATTGGCGTTTGATTTTCCTTTATCCCAAGTGCCTATGTATCAAATTTCGTTTAAATTCTTCCATAAATAAAATAGTTGGCACTGCGCATGCGCAAAACCAAATTTTGAAATTGGCGTTTGATTTTCCTTTATCCCCAAGTGCCTATGTATCAAATTTCATTCAAATACTTTTATAAGTAAAAAAGTTTGCAATTCGGTTTATAAATGGTCGAGATGCGAAAAGGGCACTGTGAATTTTGAATCGATTCAATTCAACTTTTGGCATTGCGTATTATATGGCTAAATCTATGCCCATATTGAATTTCATGCAATTCAGTTCATAACTAACGGAGATGTAAAAGCGATCGAACATTTCTAAACAAAGTTATCGTTCACACGGACAGATAGATGGACAGACAGACAAAGGAACAGACGGACAGACCAACAGGCAGACGACAGATAGCAATGCAAAATTATAAACAATCTCTAGGATCGTTAATAAACGGCAAAAGTGTAAAATTATGGAACATGTAAAAAACGGTTTTTTGTTTTTTTTTACAATAACTTTTTTTGTAAGCGGTACAGAAAAAAATTCCTTCCTTGGTACAAGACTCGACACCATAACGAACCAAATAGCGAAAAAAGTAGAACAATAGCTCTTAAGATAAAAAACTAGTAGCGTCGCAAAGTTAGCGGACGGACGGACGGACGGACGGACGGACAAAGTGGCCACAATAGCGCATTTTTTTTTATNGAGACCAACCGGCAGGCGACAGATAGCAATGCAAAATTATAAACGATCTCTAGGATCGTTAATAAACGGCAAAAGTGTAAAATTATGGAACATGTAAAAACGGTTTTTTGTTTTTTTTACAATAACTTTTTTTGTAAGCGGTACAGAAAAAATTCCTTCCTTGGTACAAGACTCGACACCATAACGAACCAAATAGCGAAAAAGTAGAACAATAGCTCTTAAGATAAAGAACTAGTAGCGTCGCAAAACGAGCGGACGGACGGACGGACAAAGTGGCCACAATAGCGCATTTTTTTTTATTTTTGTGGAAATGCGCTAAAAAGCTTCCCTTGGATTATATAAACTGGATTTTGGGATAAACTCGATAGTGAAAACCAAAATAGCCTACAGTCTTTTACTTTTTTATGGGTAAAGTTGCATTTTTCGATTTTTATATAAAACCCTATAACTTCTTTTTTTATGAAGTTATCGGAAATGTGTTTATTACGAACGTTTTTGTAATGATTGTTGCATAATCTGCCGTTTTCATAATAAATATGGCAGTAAAACAAATGACCAAAGCAGTCATGTAGGTGCTGCTTGCTTTTATGTCAATACAAATAAGAAATCTGGTCAAGCCCTACCAAAAGATACATCAATTTTTACTGCAGAATGTTTTGCCATTGGAAAAGCTTTAGAATCAATTAGAAATAGTCAAGTTGCAAATTTCGCGATAGTATCTGACTCTCTAAGTGCGCTCCAATGTCTAGGATCAGCCAAAGTTAATATAAATTTAAATTTTTATATTCTCAAAATAAAATACGAATATAACAAAATTATGGCAAAAGATCCAAGCAAGAATATAGTCTTCGTATGGTGTCCATCTCATATTGGCATATTGGGAAATGAGGCTGTCGATGAATTAGCAAAATTTTACACAAGTAAAACCCCTACTCCTAACTTTATAATTCCTTTCACTGATTTTTCGCAGAAAATTAAAAAAACTTCATATATTAATACTAATGATTACTGCTTAGAACAATCCATCTATAAAGGTTCCAAATATTTCAAAATTTTTTACAATGACTCGCCTAAAACTTGGTTCCACAAATCTAGAGTAAATCGTAATATTACAGTATCAATAATTAGATGCAGAGCGGATCACTACAATCTCGCTACCTCATTGTTCAGGGTCAATATCGTAGATGATCCAATATGTGCTGCGTGCGGTGATTATAATGAGGACCTAAATCATGTTTTATGGCAATGTGATATTTACAACGATCAAAGATTAAATTTAATTAAGAATATTTGCAGAGGAAAGACGTTATTACCGCTACACGTAGACTACCTATTGTTTTATCCCAACTCTACTGCTTGTGAACACATTGTTAAATTCTTAGATGCGATCGGTCGACCAATTTAGTTATATATCTACTAAGGAAATAATATGTAAATATTATTCTATGTATATGCAGTTTATCTTTAATAAAGGATAGCTGATATAAGGCTCCTACAAGCCTTGAAAAGCTCAAATAAAAAAAAAAAAAAAACGGGGTCCGGTAAAAAATTATCGGACCTAACGTCATTTTTTAAATAGATTCAATTCAAAGAGATTAAAAAGGAATTTTGTGAAATTGTTTTGTATTTTTTCACTTTGAATCGTTTTTAACCTTTAAAAACCTTTTTAAATCTTGTTGAATCTTTTTTAATATCATCTCTGGTGTGCTATAGTTTTGTAAAGAGAATTTAGTCCGCTATCTGTTTAGGCTAAAGTACACAGGATGTTCTATTTAAAAAAGAGAATAGGTGGAGTAACTTTTTTACTTGATCCCGTATCATTATTTGCAATAAACAGCTTTTATCTAAAAATCTAAATTTCGATACTTTTTAGATCGTACACTACGGACATCTTTAAACCATTAGGAAGCATCAATGATATCGTAGAATTCAACAAGAGGAAGTCCAAAGAAACTCTGTACATCGTGCCTGATAATTATTCTGAGTTTTAGGTCGAGAATTGATTCGACACCTTGGTGAAAGAAGTAGATATTTTGGCTTCTACAAGTTCAAGTAATCAAACCAACCTAATTAATATTACAGAGATGATCAACGACATTGAAAATACATATTATTTAACGTTTACAGTGTTTTGTGCGTTGAATGTAGTCCCTTTCCCCGAGGTTAACTTTTTTAAATAGATATTTCTATTGTTATATACAAACTTAATGGGAATAAAAACGTATTATTATTATTATATGCGGGAATATTTACACCAAAAGTAGACTTAATTCCACTAGTTTCACTAGTCGTGATTCCGAAATCAGATGGAGGTGTACGACTCTGTGGAAACGTTATCAAAAGATTTAGAAATCTCCACTATTTAATTAAATTAGACAATGGATATGTTTTTAAAAACATATTAACCAGCTTCGTAAATGTTTAGTACGAGTAGAAACAGATTCAAGCGAGTGAAAATGACCAGATGCCCAACAAATTTAACGACAATATTGAAATCTTTCGAAGTGAAATTCGTATTGAACCTGAAGTCGAAAATATACCGGATAGGGAAATGGAAACTAGTATTATACCAGACGAGCAATCGATAGAACGTCAAAATCAAAAGCAATCAAGACAAAAGCGACCACCAGCTAGACTGTAAAATTATTTGTGTTATTAGTTTAATTATTAAAATAGTGTGGGCGAATTGTTATGACTTTATAATGTAAATAATATCAAGTTAGATTGAGAAAAACAGAGAATATTAATTAATTATATGTGAATGAATGAAAAATAATTCTATTCTTCTTGTATTTAACGCTTTTCTAACACCACTCGACATAATACTCATTGATAGTTAACAAGTCCAGGATTGATAGTAATTCAGTCTCCAATGTAACGATTAGAACACAAGTGATTTGTAAACCAAGTCTTGGATTTATATCCTTAGTGAATCAAATTTTCCCCAATCTTGTTTGGTATTTAGGGTACCAAGGTCTGTTGTAATATTGACTTTAATGAGCTTTAATAAATTTTTTGCATACAACATGTGTTCAGATTACAACGTAGAAATTAATAGTAGTGTCCCAAATGGCCATAGTGGTGTCCATAGACCCCAGCGTGGTACGGATGAACGTAGTGATGATGACCATAGGCGTATGGGTGAACTCCATGATGGGTATAATGATGAGAATATGGGTACACTGGTTTGGCTTCAGGCTCAGGTGCGGCGGCGGCCAACAAGAAGAGGAGTGCAAATAAAGCAAACTGTAACAAAATTAATGATAATGATGAACATGTAATTACCTAATACGTACGTATTTGAACATCTTGTAAGCTTGCTTTGTACAAAAAAACTATACCTGACCCACCCTGGCGGGAATCTTTTATACCCATTCTAAGCTTAATTTGCATTAATGTTGCTAATTTCCGGAATGTAAACTGGATCAATTGGCATTTAATTGTATGCGTGTCCAATTAACATAACTAGCCAGACGTACTGGTACCTGTCTATTAGTAAACAATATGGAGATATTATATGCGTATGTCATGGACTCGACCTTTCTAAATTTTCATTAAATTATGGGTGAGTAATTACAGCAAGGGCGGATTTTAATGGTCGGAAAAATTTTACTGTACTGTTTCATTGCTAATAATTTGTTTAAAGCGAGAGAATTAATTCCTCTATTGTTTAAAAGGTCAACAGGACTCATTTCGACAGTGAAGGGAACGTCGTTTGTTTAGTAGAAAATATCTCAAACTAACATTCAGTGTTGTTAACCGACATATGAACCTAAGTGATTATGATCCACATCTTTACTTTGTATCTTATATGAATAAATGATCATGATCATTTTGTATAATTTTGGGCGCAAACTAACAGAACTCACGGCTCATTTCAACGTATTGAGAGTTCGTATTCGGAGTTGGAGCAGTGTCCGTGGGTTTCATGTTGTTTCACCTGCTTTAGTTTTGTATTATCTCCTGAGAAAGCAACCAAACCAGTTACTTAGGTTTGGCATATCGTCCGAATTGTTGTAGCTAGTGGTTACTTTTAGATTTCGCTACTAAGTACCAAATCTGAACCTGAAGCTAAACCAGCCATATTATGCCTATCATGGTTTCCACCTATACGGTTACGGCAGTCAACACTATGCAAATACTTCCGAGGCTCTCCTACTATCAAATTAATCATGAATCTCTTGTATTGCCAATGGTCTCCCTGATGCTGGAATCTTTCTTATACATAAACAAAGGGAAAAAGTAAAAATCCGACGTTTACATTAGACAACTTTAATGGTCCATTAAGTTAAACTCTCCCAGTCCTCTCTTCGTTGTTATGGCAATAACTAACATAACTTGTATTTCCATTCTTACCTATTTTAACATGCGAGTCAGTTGGAAGACTAGCGTTTGGTTTTATTTGTATCCAAAGACAGTTCACCAAGAAATTGCTGGCTTACTTTTCAACTATTGTTCGGTTACAAGAAAGTAAATAAATATAGGCCTTGTAGGGTAAATATGGCCCAGGGGGATATACGCCTCGGACCAGTATTTCATAAAATAGTCACCCAATGCCATTGATGTATGTGTGTAAGTCATGCGCAGTTGCACTTACAGTCGTGCGTAACTTTGTGGATGTCTGCGGAAGTGTAATCAGTGGAAAATAAAACATTTGTGTAACCGGTAAGTACCTTATTAATTTCCTTATGTAGGCAGCTTGATTAAAAAAGTTGTAGGTCAAGTATTTTAAGTTAAACATGAAGTACCTTTCACAGGGGCACTGTAAATACCTTTGGCGCGGTTTTCAAGTGACAAACGGTCAATTTAGGCGACTCCATCTTTATATTTTTGATGGGGCATATATCCCTCATAAAAATTCTTACTGGGGATATACGCCCCATAGTATTCGGGGATATATGCCCCTCTTCTAATTAGAAAGATGCCCTTATTTATAGCGATATTCTAGCTCATACTAAAAATATTTCTAGATATGCCTCGAAAATACCAACGTAAGCCAAATGTAAAACCAAGGATGATGTGGACAGAAGAAGACCTACGATCAGCAATGGATAAAGTTAAAACTCGGCAAATGGGAGTCAATGAAGCTTGTCGCGTCTATAACACACCGTCAAGAACCTTAAGAAGGCACCTGAACACCTGCGTTTCTACCAAAGTTCACGTAGGAAAGCTTCCTGTTTTGGGCGTCGAAAATGAAAATAGATTAGTGAAGCATATTAAAAAATTACAGTCGCTAGGATTTTCCCCCACGCCCTCATCTGTCAGAGAAATTGCATTCAGTTTTGCAACAAAACTGAATCTTGCTTCTAAGTTTTCAACTAAGGAAGAAACAAAGGCCGCTGGAATGCACTGGTTTTATTCCTTCATGGACAGACACCCTGATTTGGCCGTAAGAAAAAGTGAAGGGCTTTCACTGGCTCGAGCAAAGGGCATGAAAAGAGAAGAAGTGGATCAATTTGTTTCTTTGAAGGTTTGAATACGAGTATAGTATTTTATAATCAAAGCTTTGAAGTATGATTTAATAGGTAAACCACAGTGTATATACAACATGGACGAAAGTGGTATTCAAATAAACAACAAACCTGATAGGGTTATAGTCCAGAAAGGCAGCAGAGCTGTTCACGTGCTAACTTCGAAAGAAAGAGGAGAGAATGTGTCCATAATTGCTTGTGCGAACGCCGAGGGAACATTTTTACCACCTGTACTTATTTTGAAAGGAGTTCAAAAAAATCAAGCCATTTTGCAAGGAATGCCAACGGGTTCAGATTTATATATGAATAAAAAATCTTCATTCATAAACTCTGAACTTTTTTTAAAATGGATGAAAGTGTTTTCTCCCAGGAAACCTAATGGGCCCGTAATCCTGATATTTGACGGTCATAGTTCTCATTGTAATAATTTTGAAACTTTGGAATATGCAGAAACCAACAACATAATACTTTTGTGCCTGCCTAGTCATACTACCCATCACGCACTACAACCGTTGGATAGGTCATTTTTCAAGCCCCTGACGTCGGCTTATAAATTGGAGGCGGATTCTTACATGTTTCAAAGCCAGGACAAAACTATTAACAGAAATGTTATAGGAAAACTGATTGGTGCTGCCTGGAACAAAGCAGCTACCATTTCAAATGCCACTTCTGGATTTACTGCATGCGGAATATACCCTTTCAATAGATCTGTAATTCCAGATTATTTTTTCAGTATTTCTGACCACATGGAGAATCCAAGTACATCTTATACTGCAATCGAAACCACACAAGAGCCAGAAAATACAGTTAAAAATAGAAATAACAACAATCTTGACGTTGAGATTAACCTACCCTCAACGTCATCAAGTACTACTGCCTCAGAGACCCGTCCTACTCCAACTAAGGAATTGACAAATAATCTCGGACATTCTTTTTTCGAAAATGATTCCAATTATGTTTTTATATTAGATGAGCAACAACCAAATCTTGAGAACGAAATGTATTTGGCAGAACAATTACTTTTAACGGACAATACCAGTCGTCAAGCTCAAGAGTCTTCTGTTGAAGGTAGTTCTGGATTACAAGGTGTTAAAGAAACTCCATCAAAGTTATTAGAAGAAGTGTCCCCATATCCAGTCATTAATAATAAAAGAAATAAGAGGAAGCAACCAGGGAAAGTGCTGTGTTCTAGTGACTTACTTAACAAAGAGACAAAGGCAAAACGTAACGAAACAGAAACGAGCAACAAGAAAAAAACAACACAAAAGAAATTAAAGAAATTAAACGATGAAGCAAGTGGTAACGACAGCGACAATGTGGATTGCGTGGAATGTTTAGAAAATTATTACAAAACAAAGGAGCAAGTGGATTTGGATACAATGTATAGATTGCAGCAAATGGCTGCATGAATCGTGCAGCATGTACAATAACAGATGCAATGTATGTGGTCGTGCTGTTAGAAGACTAGAAAAAGCTGCAAAAGTGTCATCATTATCACTAAAATAGTGCAAACTAATTGGGTTCAGGTCGTTCAGGCTTTGAGAATTATTTTTTAGTTATCTAGAGTTTGGTTTTGTTTTAGTTTTTAGGCTTACTCGATGCTACTTTCCTAAAAAAATATTAAAATCTAATCCAAAGTTATTAAAATTTTATTGAAAACATCTGGGGCAAATATCCCCTGAACTAGAGGCATTTCTCCCATACAAAAGGCATATATCCCACAATACGATAATTTTTTTAATACAACTTACTTGCGTATTAAATAATGATTAGCAAAAAAATATAGGTTTTTTTCATTGAATTTGTAACATTAAACTATTTGCAAATCAATATGCATAGGAATTTTAATTACAGTACCCAGAAAACACGATAATGCTTAGCAGGGGCATATATCCCATATTTACATTATATCGTTAATCGCAAATTCATTTTTGGCACTAGCAGTGCAACGTTAAGACTCTCACTTCGCCGCTAAACCAATAAATAACGGAAAACACAACAATTGAATACCAACGATAGATATATGCCCTATAAATACGTAGAATGATTAAAAAGACAAACTATATAATATTCAAAGGATTAGGTGAGTACACAAAATATACTGTGCGGCCGCCACAACCTTCAGCAACGGCCCCGTCACCAAAAGAAACACCACAATGACCCTCTGTATACGAGTATTTAAGCTGAATTGATTAGTCTTACGTCTCTAAATGTTTGCTTATTTGTTTATTTGTTTAACCAGACACCATACAGGATAAGAAAATTCCAATATATTACATGGTACTGGGGCTTGGAACATACTTAAGATTTAATTTGATTTATTATTACATTTATGGGATCGTGAAAAAAGTCAATATCACTTATTTAAAGTGATCAAGATCTTAATAAGTGAGAAGTTGTGTTGCTAACTGCAAAAATAGTATTATTTTTCGTTAGTTTAACTTTAACGGATGGTACCTTTCTTGAAGTAATTCGGAAGAGTTTAACCAATTATGTAAAATTTTGAAGACAACTTGTGGATGCAATGAACCGTCGTGTTTCTAACCCCGTTATATTTAAGCCGAAAGTAATTAAGCTGGGTACCGTAAGGGATCAAATGTGAATAATTAATAATAATGCTTATTTAATGTTTTGTAGAACAGCCTACATACATAAGCCAATACAAAAGCAAATAAACATATTACAAATCTAAGAACAAACAAAATTATAACAACAATGCTTAATTGTCACGAAAAGAACTCTGTACCGAAAAATTCCTCATACGAGTAAAACGCTTTATCAATAAGAAATGCTTTAGTTCTTGATTTGAATAAATTAAAAGGTAAAGCCTTAATATTTGGAGGAATATAATTATACATTTTTATATTGACATAATCAAAACTGTTTTGCGTCTTACTTAAACGGCAAAAAGGGACAAATGCATTTAATTTGTTGCGGGTGTCATAATTATGAACATCGCAATTTTTAACAAAATAATGTTCATTGCGCTTAAGAAAACAAAGACAAGTAAAAATAAAAATAGATGGAAGCGTTAATATTTGGTGATCAATGAAAGCTTGCCGACAATCATCTCTAAATGAAATGTTAGCAATAATTCTAACGGCTTTTCTTTGTAATTTAAATAATTGCCTCCAACAAGCAAAATGACCCCAAACATTAATAGCATAAGACAAGTGGCTATGTATGAGTGCAAAATAGGCAGTTTTAAGAATATTCATAGTTACATTACTCGCTAATCTACGCAAAACAAATATATTTCTGCTTAACTTCGTAGCAACAAAATTACCGTGAACATCAAAATTTAATTTACGATCAATACAAATTCCTAAAAATTTCACATATTCAGGTGTTGATAAATCATGTGATCGCAGTGATAATATCATGGATACCGTTTTCATTGTATTTATATGTAATAAGTTTATAGTGCACCAAGTATTAGCTCGTTGAAGTAATTCATTGGAATTATTTAGTGCCCCGTTAATGTGTTCGGCCCCAACAAGTAAGGTAGCGTCATCTGCATAAAGAAGGCAGTTTTCATTTCCAGAAATAAAGCTTTACATATTATTAATATAAATTAAAAAGAGAAGAGGCCCCAGAATACTACCTTGGGGTACTCCTTTCGTTATACAGAGTTTTCCTGATAGGTTATTATTTATCCTTACACATTGAAACCTATTTGTAAGGTATGATTCAATGAGGAGTTTGCTAGTAACATCAAATCCATAGACTTTCTCGAGCTTGTCTTATAAAATTAGATGTTGTACGCTGTCAAACGCTTTAGACAGATCTATGAAAATTGCACAAGCGTGTTCATCTTTTTCAAAGCAATTAAGCGTAAGTCTACAAATTTAGCGATAGCGTCAGATGTAGACCTCCCACCACGAAACCCAAATTGATTATGACTGAAGAGTTTATTATCTTCAAAATATTTAACCATTCTTTTATTAATCAGTTTTTCAAAAACCTTCGAGAAAACTGGTTAGACAGAGATGGGCCGGTAATTTGTAACATTATCTACGTCGCCTTTCTTATGTAATGGTAAAAGTGCTGCGAGTTTCAGTTGATCGGGAAAAATGCCATTTAAGAACGACTCATTAATTAATTTGGTGAGACGTAGAACATAAACACTAACGTTTGTTTTTATAAGGGTCGTGGTCACGCCGTATATATCTTTGCATTTACTATTTGATAAACAAAGTATAGTGTCTCTAACTTCAATCGGTGATACAGGAGTAAGTGAAAATTTTAAATGCGAAGCTATTCTAATGTTGCAAACCCTCGAACTATCACTTAAAGTTTGATTTATGTTAGTTATCGCCAGATCGGATTTGTTAACGAAATGTCTATTAAAAGTATCACAATTTATATTGTGTTTAATCACCTTATTTGAATTTCTATGAGAATTAACAATTGACCACATTGTACCAATAGGATTCGAAGAGGTGTTTATGGCCGCACTATTAGCAGAAATTTTAGCATCTTTAATTGCTGTTTTATATTTATTAAAAACATTTCGTTTGATATTACGAAGCTCTTCGGATTTATCTCTATCATACATCTCACATATGAGCTGATAAACACCGCGGAGATTTTTTAAATCGTCAGTGAACCATTTTATGTTAGTGGGTTGACCTAAGAAACATTACTCGGATGAACTTTTTCTGTACTTTTTCGATCATGTCTGAGTATTTGAGAGTTTGAGGAGACCAGATACGTGCATTGAAAATTTGGGGACACATTAATCGAAAATGTTTGATTAAAGCCAGTTACTGCATCATCTACCGATTTGAACTCCTTCAGGATAAGAGACTCCTCCCAATTAATATCGCGAAAAAGAACGCACATTAAAAAAAATCTGCCTTTTTGAAATTGAAGTAGGTTAAGTCACCTGCTATTAGAACTTCCGATAAATGCAACATGCTTTCAATTCAAGCTATACGATGGTCCGTTAGCGATATCTTTATCGATTTATAAAAGCATCCCTTTGGAATGCAATGGTTCTCAGCTTGCTGAGTAATCGATGCAGGAATAACTCGATAATACGAACCTAATGCTGAAAATCCCAAGACTGTGCGGCATTTCGTTTTTAAGGTCTCAATCGAAATATTTAAAGGAAATTCATAAATTGTCAAGCTCAGCGATGCAGGAATAAATCAAAGTACGAAACTAATGCTCAAATCCCGAAGGCGTTTTTTGTTTATTCAGAACCAGAAAAGTTACTCAGAACTACTAAATCTGAAAACCATGTGCTCTTAACAGTGCAAATCGTGCAATTTGACCTTTTGCTATCTGGCCGCCAGCATACATTTCCGCGCAACTGTTTCTGATTATCTAACAGTTATAAAAAATAGGGAAATAAAAATGCAAAGTCAGTAGGTACTACTAGCCTTTAATGTTACCAAATTTAACGACCGACATAAATTATTATAAAGTTATAGGTCTGCATTTTGATGCACTCTTTTAATTTACATTCATAAGAAAATACCTTTCAAACTCCGTAGATAAATTAACCACTGACATTGTAAATCGATACACCATTGGATATTGAAAGCGGGAAATTTACAATAAACGATCATTTCGCATTCGTTCGAGCCAGATAACTGGGAACCCTTCTTTTTTAAAAGAATATAATTTCATTTAAAGGCATGTACAGTACACGGTGCAATTTAAAAATTGTTAATGAACTAGGCTTATCAAAAAATACCCCAAGCTGTTTCGGCAGTGTGGCGATTAACCATTGGAACATAAAGTAGCGTGTACCAACTAATACCAGTTCAAGAAAATTTACATTACACTTAACTACATTAAAGTAAAATCGAATATAGACGTGAATAGTCGTAACTTTAACCTCCTTCAACCAGAGAGTTTGTCCTAAACCTTTAACTTTGTATAATGAAACGCTAGTAAAGTAACCTAAAAAGTGAGATCAAGTTGCAATTCTATGGTTCACTTTTTTCTGTTTTTAATTTGACGTTAGATCATCGCAAAGTTTAGCAAAATTTTCGATAGAAACATGTCGGGTGCAGGAAAGGTATCGCGAAACGCGTACATCAATTTCTTCCTTGAACTCATAGCAGAAAATCGTGGCAAACCAGTCAAGGAAGTGGCAAGTATGGCGGGCGATTCCTGGAGGGAAATGTCACCCGACCAAAAGAGACCTTACAAAACAATGGCCGAAGGTGCTCCGGTGGTGCTTCGGAGACGAGCGAAGCTGCCTGCACGTAGTCGACATGGTTCCAGGGGACACGGACACCGGTCAAGACATCATAGACGACGGCATCACGGATCAGGACGTCACCATTCAAGGAGCAGGAGCAGGAGTACGAGAAGGAAGCGTAGCAGCCGAAGATACTCGCATTAGGAACTATTGTAATTGAAAGAGAGACGAATTTTGTGGTCAAATAAATTACGTTGTGCTTGAATCTTCATTTTAATGTATGCTAGATTTCAGAGTTACACACAGACTTTTACTTCAGTTCGTAAGAAGAGCCTCCACAGTTTAACAGTTTAACAACCTGATTAGGTAGATTCCAAAATAAGTTATATAACCGTCATGGGCGGATTTGTATCCAGAATACAGAGCTGTGCAAGACCTAGGTACCAAACAAGAAATTAATTCACATTTCACAAATAAAATCCTAATTCACCAGCTTACAATTCTCAATTCCAATTCATTTCAAAAGGAATTAATTCACAATTCAAAAAGGAATAATCCCTTATTCATAAGACGTTTGTGGCGTGTTCGTGAAGTCATTGTGGTTCTATAGACATCCCTTCCTTTAGTGCTCAGTAACATATTACCGAAGTATATAATACAATAATTTCAATATGTAAACTGCAATTTATATCTTTATGCATTAAAATGAAGACTCAAGCACACAGTAATTTCGCCAAATACTCTCTTTCAATTACAATAATTCCTAATGCGAGTATGTTCAGCTGCTACGCTTCCTTCTGTTACTCCGGCTTTCGCTCCTTGAATGGTGTCGTCCCGATCCGTGATGTCCTCGTCCATGATCTCTTGTCCTGTGTCGTCTTCCTCCGTGTCCAATGGAACCATCTCGACTTCGTGCAAGCCGCTTCCTTCGTCTCCGAAACACGAACGGAGCACTCTCGGCCATTGATTTGTATGGTTTCTTTTCGTCGGGTGGCATCTCCCTCCAGCACGCGCCCGCCATGCTTGCCACTTCCTTGATTGGTTTATCGCGGTTTTCTGCTCTAAGTTGCAGAAAGAAGTTCAGGTACGCGTTTCGCGTAACCTTTTCTGGGTTACCACCCGACATTTTCCTATCGAAAATTTTACTCATCTTCACGATGATCTAACGTCAAACTGAAAACAGAAAAAAAGTGAACCCTATCAATGCAACTTGATCTCACTTTTCAAGTTGCTGTACTAATCATAGTAGATCTACAGTGACTTTATAACTAATGCCCTTTTGCACCGACAAATTTAAGTGGAGCTTAGCTTAAGCGTAGCTTAAAATCCATGGCAACGATTATTGAGACAATGGTTGCCATGGATTTTAAGTTGCGCTAAAGCTAAGCTCCACTTAAATTTGTCGGTGAAAGCAACCATAAACTTTATAAGGACAGTGGCGACAACTTATCATAACCCGCCATATTGGAGCTAAAAAATTGATTGTAAGATCAATATACCTTGTCATGTCAAATTGTGACCGTAGAATAATATATGTCAGTTTCATTTAAGTAAAGATTCTCGTTCAAAACTAACGGCGCAGAAATGATCGTTTAAAGCTTTGCAGAACAACCTATAG